ATCAAATTATCGTCATTATTATTATTACTATTATTATAATTATTGTTATCATCATTACCATTATCATCATCATCATCATTATTGTTATTGTTTTTTATCATCATTGTTATCATTATTATTATTACTCTTATTATTATCATTACTTTAGAATGATGATTATTTTATCATTATTAATATTTTCATTGTCATTGTCATTATTATCACTATATTTTTTTATCATTATCATCATCATTACTATTATCATGATGATAATAACAGTAGTAATAGTTACTATCATTATTGTTGTTGCTATTATTATTATCATTATTATCATCATTATTATCATTACTGTTTTTATGATAATAATGACAGAAGTGATAGTTACTATTACCATTGTTATTATTACTATTATTGTTATTGTTGTTATTATCATCATCCTTATTATTGTTATTATCATTATTATCTTCATCATTATCACTGTTATCATTACCGTTATTATCGTTATTATCATTATTATCATCATTATCATCATCATTTTCATTACTGTAATAATAATGATTATAGTAATCATCATCATCATCATTTCCGCCAAGAAGGTTTTGTTTTGCTAGCGTGGTTAGTTTGTTTGTTCGTTGGTTAACAGGATAACTGAAAAGGTATTAATAGATTTTTTTTTTTTTTTTACGAAGTGATTATCATTACCTTTATTATCTGTCTTAAATTAGTTATACTCTTGTTATTATCATTATTATTTTTTGTAATTACTGTTGTTGCAGCCGCTGTTGTTCTTGTTGTTTATTATTTTTACTATCATCATTATTATTACCCTCATTATCATTAATATTGCTACTGTTACTGTTATTATCATCATTGTTATTGTAACTATTATCATTATTATCACTTTTTTTCATTTTTCTCACTATCATAATATAATCGTATTATTACTATCATAGTTATCATCAATATTATTATTATTTTCATTAAGCCTAAATAAGATCCTTTTAGAATTACTATTATTTGTATTACCGTTATTAAAGTGTGATAGTTTTGGTAAGAATATATTTTTAGACCTAAGCGTAAGATAGGGCCTACGTAGAATTTTATCCTTTTGAAAAATATAGGCCCACTAACATTTTTTGTGCTTTTGATCCTATAGGCCTACATTTTTTGTGCGTTTATAGCAGTTTCATCATATTCCTCCCTGTATTTATTTTCTATTTACGACCAACAAATTCCTCTCTCTGTCATTCTCTCTCCTTCCCTCCCTCCCTTTGCCCTTCCTCCCCCTCCCTACTCCCCCCCCCTCCAACACCGCCCTTCTTTCCCCTGAAATGCCTCTGTTCTGCAGCCACTGACCCCCTCTCCCCCACGATGGTGGGGTGGCGGCGGAGCGCGCTGGTCCGAGGAAGTTTCCTGCTCAACGTGGTCTTCGGGCTGTACGTGGCGGTGCACGTGGCGGCGCCCCCCCGCCTCGTGTCCCCGCGGGGGCGGCGCTCCCCCTCCTGCACGACAACCTCACCTCCTCCGGCGCGGGCGGGGGGGAGGGGGTTGACTATGCGACCGAGGGGGGCTTGCAGGGGGCGAGTTCCCCGGGGGCTCACTGGACGCGGACTCCGCTGACCTGGCGGCGGCGGCGGCGGCGGCGTCGGCGTCCGCGTCGTCCGAAGACCGCCGCGCGGCCCCCGCCACGCCCGCGCCCTCGCTGCAGGAGAAGGTGTACCCCGACCTGCACACCTGCCACACGCCCACGCTGGCGCCGCGGCCCGCCCTGCACGGCGACCACTGGGTGCTGTACAACTACGTGCCGGCGGACACGCAGCCGGCGTGCAACGAGTCCGTCACGTACACGACGCACGCGGACTTCACCTTCCTGGACAACCTGGTGCCGCTGGTGGAGCGGTGGCGCGGCCCCGTCAGCGCCGCCGTCTTCGCCCCCGGGGGCGACTTCAACGCCACGCTGGCCACCATCACCTTCCTGCGCGCATGCCGCGGCCTGGTGGCGGACCACGTGACCTTCCACCTCTTCTTCCCCGCCGAGCACATGCCCTCGCACGTGCCCCTCACGGCGCACGTGCTGGCCGGGCGCACCTCCTGCTCGACGCCGCCGCCGTACCTGGCCACGCACACGTACAAGCGCGCGCACAACCTCACGTACCCCGTGAACGTGGCGCGCAACATCGCGCGCCGCGCCGCCGCCACCTACTTCGTGCTGGCGAGCGACGTGGAGCTGTACCCGTCGCGGGGCTTCATCCCGTTCTTCATGGACATGCTCAAGCGGCAGGACGCCTCGCCCGCGCCCGCGCCCACGCGCAGGGTGTACGTGCTGCCGATCTTCGAGGTAAAGAGCGGGCTGCGGCCGCCCGCGTCCAAGCTGGCCCTCGCGCGCATGCTCAAGCGCGGCGCCGCCATCCCGTTCCACAAGTTCGTGTGCCCGCAGTGCCACAAGGTGCCCGGCATGCGCGAGTGGGCCGACTCCAACGCCACCGAGTCCGTGAACGTGGTCATGGTGGCCAAGCGGCACCCGCCCTTCCACCACTGGGAGCCCATCTACGTGGGCACGCACCTCGAGCCCCTCTACGACGAGCGCCTCTCGTGGGAGGGCCGCTCCGACAAGATGACGCAGGTGAGTCTCCTCGCCGCCTCCCGGGCCTCGCCGCGGCCGCCGGCGGGGTTTGCATCTTCGCTGTTGCCAGGCAAGCCGAAGCCGCCCTGGTGACGCGCCTTCGGGAGGGACGCGAACGAAGCTGCAAAAAGGGGGAATATTTTTTCTCTCATAAGCTTTATTATTTAAAGGTGATTATGATTATGAGAGAGGAGAGGAATGTCGAAAAAGTCTTTTGTCAAGTAGTTTTACACCATTTATAAACTTTCCCTTTCTGAGATGGTATTAAATATTTTCTCTGCTGTGGTATTAGGTAACTGTTCTACAGTGGATACTTGGTAATTAGTTCGGAGTGGTATTAGATAGTTATTCAGATAATTATCCTGAAGTGGTAATTACATAATTAGTATGCAAAGGACATTATCTAGTCACTCTGTGGCACTTGATCTGAAGTGATAGACCCTGGGATAAAGCAGTGAATCATTTCGAGTTACTGCCTGACATTTCTAAAAGGATATTGGGCAGTTTCTAAGGTTTGGGGTATCATGTGGTATAAGGAAACTGATCCTAGACTATAAGGCAATTGCTCTAAAATCATAAGGTCATAAGGCTAGAGGCGATCTGACCTCGCCTGGGGAGATAAGCAGCTCCCCCCCCCCCCCGGCCATCTCGGGACAAGCTCCTTGACCTGCTCCGGAGCGAGGAGGAGCAGATAAGGAGCCCCTTATCTCGTACCTGGTTAAGGTGAAGGGCACGAGCTGGCGATAGTGGGAAGGGAAGGAGATGATAATAAAAAAGAGAATTTCGTTAGTAAGTCGGAATTATTGGGGAAATTGAGATAATTAGGAAGGAGAGAGAAAGGCAATTAGAACGGGAGATGGTAATAAAAGATAACGATAATTAAAGGAAGAGAAAAAAATCATGGTAAATGGAGAAACGAGGAACGGTACTAATTAGTGAAGAAGAAAAAAAATAAAACGAATAAATGAATGAATAGCACAATGAAGATAATGATAATGATAAAATGAGAAAGATTTGATTATCATAAAACGAGAGAAAAATATATATATAAAAGAACAGCATAAAGGCACCACGCAGAGAATAAGGAAGACCGATAAAATGGATAACTCAGGAGAAGCAATAACATTATCAATATTCCGACATCGATTTCTCGCCGTTCGAGAAAATGCGTTGCGTAACCGACTCCACGTGGACAATGGAAAGATCCTCTACGGCGGCCTTTCAGCGAGTGGCCCGCCGTTCAAGCAGCTTTTCAGTTTGAGTTCATCGGGTTTTTTTAACACAGCATGCAGGAAGTATTTTTTTTTTCAATCATTAATTGTGTAACTCGTGTAGGTTTTTTTTATGATTAATTAGATTTAGGATGTTTGTCTGATCGTTTGTGAGTATTGAGGATAGCTTGCCAGGGGGAAGCAGATTAAAATTATTATACAGATTGCGAGTGAAATGATTGTAGAACACTCGGAGGAATGGAACATAAATATGTATTTTTATTGATTTATATTTCTTTCATCGATAAATATACCAAAGGATCTTCTCAGCACATAGAACATTGAACTTAGAACATAGAAATAGAACTCCTTAGGCACAAGAGATTTTCCAGCTCTAAGGAGGTGACTAAGTCGAGTGCTACTTGAATTCTAAGTGGCAGATCTTGTGATAAGTGACGTTTTTTTTTTTTTTTTTTTTTTTTTTTTGAGGGGAGGAGGGTCGAGAGGGAGAAGAGAAAGAGGTGGAGAGATGGTGAAGTGGAGTGGAAAGGAAGGAAGAAGGAAGAATGAGTGGGAAGAGTAAGAAGAAACTGAATAGAGAATAGAGATATTGATAAATGGGTAGACAAATAGATAAGCAGATAAACAAAGAGAGAAGGAACAAGAGACAAAGAAAGGAGAGGGCTTGAGAGAGAGAGAGAGCTTAAGCTACAGAGAGCAGTGAAAGCCGAGATAGAGACAGAAGGTGAAAGCAAAAGGAGCATCGTGATAAACAGCAATAATGGTCGACCAAGCACACGCAGCGCTATCTTGGCAGCGCTGGAACATCCTGATAAAGGCGGAGGCGAAACGGAGGAAGGAAGCAGATAAGAGGAGACAGAAAGGGATAAAGGCAAGGAAGGATGGAGTTGTGGCTGTGCAGCGTTTAAGCGTGTGTGTGTGTGTGGGGGGG